ATTTGCTCTTCCCTTTGCTGCTCTTCCTGAAAATTACGAGAGAGCTAATTGCAGGTAGTCCTTGATTCACAGACACAACTGAGCCCAGAATTTCGGTGGCTGAGGGAAACGTTGGATAAGTGAACTTTGCCCCATTTAACAACTCTCCTCACCACAGGTGTTAAGCGGGTGGCTGCAGCTGTTAAGCTTAATAACATGGCTAAGTGAATCGGGCTTCCCCGTTGACTTTGCTTGCACCGTGGGATGCTGCCAAGGTTGCAAGAGAGAGGGAGGAAAGCAGGAAAGAAAGAAAGAAAGAAAGAAAAGTGGGAAGGAGGGAGAAAAGAAAGAGGGAGGGGGAAGGAAGGAAGGAAGGAAGGAAGGAAGGAAGGAAGGAAGGAAGGAAGGAAGGAAGGAAGGAAGGAAGGAAGGAAAGAAAGAAAGAAAGAAAGAAAGAAAGAAAGAAAGAAAGAAAGAAAGAAAGAAAGAAAAGAAAAAAGAAAGAGGGAGGGATGGGTGAGGAAGGAAAGGAAAAAGAAGGAAAGAGGGAAGAAGGAAGGAAAGAAGGAAGAAAAGAAAGAGTGAGTAGGAAGAAGGAAGGAAGGAAGGAAGGAAGGAAAGAAAGAAAGAGGGAGGGAGAAAAGAAAGAGGGAGGGGGGAAGGAAGGAAGGAAGGAAGGAAAGAAAGAAAGAAAGAAAGAAAGAAAGAAAGAAAGAAAGAAAGAAAGAAAGAAAGAAAGAGGGTGGAGAAAGAAAGTGGGAAGGAGGGAGAAAGAAAGAAAGAAAGGGAGGGAGGAAAGTAGGGGTGGGAGGAAGGAAACAAGGAAGAAAAGAAAGAGTATGAGGGGGAAGCCGTTAAGTTAGTCACATGGTTGTTAAGCAGATCTGGCTGAAGGAATCATGTAACCTTGGGTCATAAGTATGAGTCAGTTGCCAAGCATCTGAATTTTCAGCGTGATCATGGGGAACGCTGTAAAGGTCTGTGAAAAACGGCCATAAGTCACATTTTTCGGTGCCGTTGTAACATCGAACGGTCACTAAATGAACTGTTGTAAGTTGAGGACTGGCTGTGACTCCTTCTTTCCACTGTTTGCTGGTGTAGATACTCCTAAGTGCCTTTCCCTTTGATTAAACACCAATAACTAGAATAATAGGATTCTTTTATTGGCCAAGTGTGGTTGGACACACAAGGAATTTGTCTTTGGTGCAAATGCTCTCAGTCTACATAAAAGGAAAGATACATTTGTCAAGAGTCAAGAATCATAAGGTACAACCATTAATAATAGTCACAGGGTACAATAAGCAATCAAATCATACTAGGAAACAGTCAATAAACAGGATAGGCCTTCTTGGTTTTTTCTCGTGTACGGTAATGTTGCCAAACCAGTCCAACTAGCATGGGGGGTGGGAAAAAAATATGACACATTCCACAGGGCCCCGTGAAATTGAACAGCCAGCAAAAGCTCCCAGATGGAGAGTTGGTGATCACGGTATCTATTTACTCACTCCATTTATCGGCTGCTGTTTGCTGCTCAAAATGAAGACTGGATAACTGTCCAACTATTTACAAAGTCTGCGCTACTATTACTGTTAATCTTCTCATCACTCCTTATCCCCCATCCCCTCCCACTTGTGACTGTATGACCGTAACTTTGTCGCTTGTATCCTTGGGATTTATATTGACATGTTTCCTAGTATGATTTGATTGCTTATTGTACCCTATGACTATTATTAAGTGTTGAACCTTATGATTCTTTATGAATATATCTTTTCTTTTATGTACACTGAGAGCATTTGCACCAAGACAAATTCCTTGTGTGTCCAATCACACTTGGCCAATAAAAGAATTCTTATTCTATTCTATTCTATTCTATTCTATTCTATTCTATTCTATTCTATTCTATTCTATTCCATTCCATTCCATTCCATTCCATTCCATTCCATTCCATTCCAACTCAGCACCCCCCCCCCAAACCTTTGTTAATGGGCCATGAAGGCCTGAGCTAGTCTATTCTACATAACAAAGTTCTACCTCCTTCAAGGCAGAGCCATAATAGGAATCCCAAACCTTTTTCATTCAGAGGTAATATCCAGCCGGTTCTGAGCAGTTCTAGAGAACCGGTAGCGGAGATTTGGGGTCGTTCGGAGAACCGGCAAATCCCACCTCTGACTGGCTCCACCCCCATCTCTTCTCTGCCTCCCATGGAGTCTCAGCTGATTGGCTGGGTTTTCTTTGGTTGCCCTGCACAGGAAAACGGAGCTGGAAAGCAGGTTAGTGGGGTGGGGTGGGAAGTGGGATTTTGCAGTATCCTTCCCCTGGAATGGGGTGGGCATAGAAGACCCAGCTGGGACTCAATGGGAGGCAGAGAATAGATGGGGGTGGGGCCAGTTAGAAGTGGGATTTGCCAGTTCTCCAAACGACTCAAAATTTCCACTACCGGTTCTCCAGAACTGGTCAGTACAAGCTGAATACCACCTCTGCTCTAAGCGATCGTAAAAAGAAGGCAATCTGAGGTAGCAAACAGGACCTATAGCTGTGCATTAAAATGGAGAATTCTACGCTGTTACAAAATTCACATTGATAAAGGAGAATATTTGTAGCTCAGGGTTGAAATGAGGGGTCCTTCACATTCTCTGCAATGGTGGGATTCAATTTTTTTGATTACCAGTTCTGTGGGCACAGTGTGGTGGACGTGGCAGGGGAAGGATACTGTAAAATCTCCAGTCAGAAGGTGGTATTTGCCGGTTCTCTGAACTACTCAAAATTTCCGCTACCGGTTCTCCAGAACGGGTCAGAACCTGCTGAATACCACCTCTGACTCTCTGAGTTTGGTTGTTTCCTTGCAGACATTTCTTTTTTTTTTAATAAATTTTATTAAGTTTTCAAATGTTAAAAACAAAATAAAACTTGATACACTATTATCAACATCAAGACATCTTTTGCATCTCGTCACATTTTTCAGTATGTATATTTACTTATTCCTTTACCATTACATCTTACTCTTGCTATAAATCAATATCTTTTATCCTTACATATCAATCTTCTCCATGGTATATTTTACATATTTACATATTCCCTCACTCTTTTCCTAATTGCCATTTTATTTTATTTTTATTTCTAAACCACTCATACCAGGCATACCAGCCCTATAATAAATTGAATCTTCTCTGTCTTCTATTTTCATTGTTAGCCTGGCCCTCTCTATACAATCTATTTTTTTTTTATATAACCATGCCTTATAACCTAAAAGAGGACCTGACCTGGGGTGCCCACATTGCAGCCCTGATCAAAAGGGCCCAGCAGAGATTATGCTACCTGAGGCTTCTCAGAAAACAACAACTGAATGAAAAACTGCTGGTGACCTTCTACCTCTGCACCATAGAGAGCATTTTAACTCACTGCACCTGTGTATGGTTTGCCAATTGTACAGGGGCAGATAGGACAGCACTCCAGAGGGTTAATGTCATTGCCCAGAAGATCATGGGTTGCCCTCTCCCCTCTTTGGAAGAGCTTTGTAGCTCCCGCTGCCTTAAGAATGTTCAAAACATTCTTATCAAAGATCCATCTCATCCTGGGCACCCTTTTTTTGAACTATTACCACACACCTGGGGAAAAAATATTGGAACTTTGATCTTAGATAAGTTGACAACAGCAAAACAGTATGGACAAAAAAAATGGAAGGATATTTTGATTTGCACCATGGACGGATGGCTGCAGAAGCTGATGGAGTTGGCCAAGATGGCTAAATTGACTGTTTTGATCAAAGAAAAGAATATAAGTACTTTTGTTTCTATTTGGAAATGCTTCTGGACTTTGGGCTAGAGGTGGGAAAACAATGAAACGTTGATTCTGGGTTTTATCAATTAAACCGACGGATGTTTATAGAAACTGATATATGTTTATAGAACATAGAAATGCTGTGAACAAAACTGGATGCAGGTGTGGTCTTACTAAGGCTTTATAGAGTGGTTATATGATACAAGGTGCATCCAGTTTTGTTCACCACATTATTAAAAAGATGTTGAGATTCTAGAAAGAGTGCAGAGAAGAGCAACCAGGATGATTAAGGGACTGGAGACTAAAACATATGAAGAACAGTTACAGGAACCGGGCTTGGCTAGTCTAGTGAAGAGAAGGACCAGGGGAGACAGGATAGCAGTCTTCCAGTATTTGAGGGGCTGCCACAGAGAGGAGAAGGGGGTCAAGCTATTTTCCAAGGCATCTGAAGGCCAGACAAGGAATAAAGGATGGAAACTGGACAAGGAGAGATTTAACCTGGAAATAATGAGATACTTTCTGACAGTGAGAACAATCAACCAATGGAATAGAAGTTGCCTTTGGAAGTCATCAGAGTGTCATCACTTATTATTACCTTTATTGTCACAGCACAACATGTGTACGAGATTGGCTAAGCTTCCCTTTGTGCATCCCCCTCCCCAATACAACTCACAGTGAGGACAGAAGTCCCTAATCACTTGAGACTTTCAAGAAGAGATTGGACCCCTATCTGTCAGAAATGGTGTAGGGTCTCCTGCTTAGGTGGGGGGGGTTGGACTAGATGACCTACAAGGCCCCTTCCAACTCTGATTATCTGTAAACCTGTAAATCCAGCAACATAATTATCAAATTGACTTGTTGGAAGTGCCAATAAAATACATAATGTGTTGAATCTGGCCGACCATTTATATTTTTATCCCTAGGAGTAGTTGTGGTAGGGGCTCCGATACAACTGCTTTGCCCCGGGCCCCCCATAATGCTGTAAAGGCGGCATGGATGCCGCAGGGAAGACGGTTTGGAGCAGGCAGGTGGGCCGAGAGGGGAGGGGAGAGGAGAGAAGGGGGGAGGAGAGTGAGGATTGTGTGAGTAGGCTTCAGTAAGCAAGAAGCAATACATAACAGGAGGGGTGGGGAATGCCGCTTAGGGAACCCATGCTTGGCCTCCTTCCCGGCCCGACCCAAAGGTGTGGCTCTCCGGAGGAGGGAGGAGGAGGAGGAGGGCCGGGCAGGACCGGAGCCCTCGGGGGGGAGGAAGGGAAAGAGGGCAGGGCGAGGCTGAGCTGGGGCTGTCGGAGAAGCTGGGGCGAGGCTCGACTGGAAGAACCACCGCGAGTATCTGCTGGAAAGAAAGAAAGAGACAGAGATCGAGAGAGAAGCACCTGTTCAAACTCCGCCGAGCAGCAAAACCGCCGCCGCCGCCGCCGCCACTTTCCCCGGCTCCAGCGCACCTTCCTCGCCTTCTCCACCACTTCATCCTCCGCCTCGCCCGCCCGCTCGCTCGCCCGGCGCGATGCCGGTCAAAGGAGGCACCAAGTGTATCAAATACCTGCTCTTCGGCTTCAATTTCATTTTCTGGGTAGGTGGGCATTTTCTAGGCAGGTGTGGCTGGAGTGGGGGGTGAGGGTGGGGGAGTTTCTCCCCCCCCCAAAAAAACCCCAGGGGAATCGCGGGGAGAGGTCTCTGAGCACGTGCAGAGAGCCTGGGGAGAGAGGGAGTGGGGATTTGTGGGGGGGGGAGGGGAGCAGCTTTCCAATCGGGAAGGGCCAGCCCGCCAGCATCACCTTTTGGGGGCTCCCGCACACCTGGGACGCCAGGTGAGAACGGCCCGGGCGCTTCCCTTTCGCCGCGGGGGCTGCTCCGTCAGTGGTGCTGGGGGGGGCGGGGAGAGTGGGGGGGGGGGGGGGGCGGCTGGTTGGGTCGGGGTTTTCTGCGTCGCTTAGGAAAATTGAGGAGGGGGCGAGAGTCGTTGCAAGGCTGGGGTGCGGGAAGAAGCGGGCGCCGGGCTTAAGTCGTTCAGGAACCCCCCCCCCCGGGGGGGGGGATAAATGCGGAGCTCTGTTTGATGGACTCGCTCGATCCCCGAGCCGTGAGGGGGGGGAACCAAGGCGACGAGGGGTCGCCCAGAAAGTCCCCACCAAGCTTTCCCCTCCACCGCTGCAAAAATAGGTAGGAAAAAGGCCGTTTGGCGGAAGGTGGGTCGACCGAAGGAGCGGCTTGGAGGATCGATCCCCCTGGGGTTGGGTTGTTGTTGTTGTTGTTGGGTTTTGTTTGAAGGGGGGATCTGGCAGCTGGTTGGCAGACTGCCCGCCTTTGCCACTCCTCCACCGCTGGGGGGGGGGGGGGGGGGGGGGGGAGGAAGAAATGTAGTAATTTGAAGAAGAAGAAAAAAGTAAAACACCAGCTTCAAGCGTGATCTGCATTTCCAGCCTTTGGCCACAGAGGCTTGATGAGAAAAAATGAAAAAGAAAAGAAAAGAAATGAGATTTGGGGTGGTGGTGTATAAACCCCCAGCTTCTTTGGGAAAAGGTTCTTTTTCCCAGGGAGTCAAAAAAGTCAAGATGGAGGCTGAAACCTCACAAAGCCCTCCTCTCTCTCTCTCCTCCCTTTCAGTTTGGTGTAGTTGTGGCTGCCATATTGCCTTGTGTTGACACCTCTAGCCCCACCTGAGGAGACCATGGACCAAGATGTGGGCCTAGTCTTTTAAATTGCATAAGCAACGAAAATATGCCCATACACACGAAGTAATACAAATCAATGTTTCTTATATGCTTCTGGGCCTAGAAGGTTTTTTTTTATTTTCTTCTTGGTTGTACACTGGTTTCTGACCCCAATAAAGGATGGGTTGGTTGGTTGGTTGGTTGGTTGAGGTGAGGTGAGGTGAGGTGAGGAACTTCTCCAGGCCCCATCTATCCACACCTCCTTCTCCAGGATTGACCCTGCTGAATGGCTTGCTTATGGTCTTGAATCTACAAGTTACCCAGAGTAGGAAAGTGCTCTAAATGGATCCAGATATTGGCTAGCTTATTCACTGTTGGGCCAATCCACAAATGTGGGTTTGTTCCTCAACTGGGTATTGTGGAAACCTCACCAGAGTCTATTGACTTTAGGGGTTCTGGGGTTACAAGGTTTGTGACCTCACTAAGGGTTGTTGGAGGCCTCTGGAATTCTTCTCAAGTTGTTAAATTGTTTGAATGGTGAAGAGGCCTGCTTGGAACAAGGACTTCCTGCTTCCTTTTCGAAGTGTGCAGATGGTACTTTGGGTTTGACCTTCTGTTTTGTACCATGGAATTGTGTATCTTGGTATTGTGTATTGGGTTTTGCCTCACTTTTGCTTTAAGAAAATACATATATTCCCTTTGGCATCAACTCTCTATCTCCAATGATAGCTGAGCCCCCAGGAAAAATTGGGGAATATTCTGTAGTACACTTGACTTCATCTAGATGCATATTAACGCTCATTTGCTTTTCTGAAAGAGACATGAAAGGTTTTTGAGTCATGAGAAAATCGTCCTCAACTAAGTTCTCCTAGAATTTTCCACCCTCTCTGAAACTTTCTGCTTCTCCTTCCAGCATTAATCAGATGGGGAGATTACCTAACTTGTACACAAAGTGACTTTTCTGGTTGAGGGAATCTTCCCTCCAGGTAGAGACGGAAAACCACCGAGAAGGACGCAAGATTTTACTCTTGATACAGAACTTATTATATAGTTTATTGACGCTTCGATTCAATTCAGCCAGGATAGAGCTGGAAGGGTCCTAGGAGGTCGTCTAGTCCAACCCCCTATACTATTTCATACAAAGGGCTGTCCAGTCTTTTCTTGAAAACCTTCACTGATGAAACACCCACAGCTTCTGAAGGCAATCTGTTCCACTGAATTAATTACTCTCGGTGTTAGGAAATGTCTCCTTAGTTCTAGGTTGCTTCTCTCCTTGATTAGTTTCCATCCATTGTTTCTTGTCCTGCCTTCTGGTGCTTTGGAAAATAAATTGACCCCCTTCTCTTTGTGGCAGCCCCTCAAATACTGAAATACTGTTATCATGTCACGCCTAGCCCTTCTTTTCTCTAGGCTAGCCACACCCAAATACTAGCCACACCCAAATACTAGCCACGTTCTTCATATATATTCATCTCCAGGCCTTCAATCATCTCAGTTGACTTGGAGAAGTGTGGGTGGTCCCAGATGGACTTGGATTCCTGCTGAATTGTGTTTTTCCCTTGCTGGGATAAACAGAAGCAAAATACCTTTCGCAGAAGACGCTGGTACTTGCAGATCTGGCTGGTTGTTTGGGTTGCGTCGTTTTTTCTTTTCATGTTCCTTAAGTCCTCCTTTTCATAAGTTAGCAAAAAAAACAAAAAACAAACCAGGGATTGCCTGAGCGTGTGTGCCTCTCTGAAAACTTGTCTCTGCTTGCTCTCGGCTTCCTGGGTGGGGCTGTGCTGTTGCCATGCTCTCAGAAACTGACTTGTCAGTCACAGATCGGAATGGACAACTGGGGCTTAGTGAATAGTTGATGATGATAGTGAACTAAACCAGAGAGCTCACGACGAAACCCTTTCTGGCAGCTGGCTGCAGGAGTGGGAAGCCATTGATTTATGGGAAACAGAGGCGTAAGTGGAACAGGTGTCGTCATTGTGCAGGAGCTTTTGAAAGCCTGAGTTGTGTGACTGTTCCACTTTGCCCAGTTCACTGTTTGAAGCTGTGTTGGATGTGTTCTCCGGCCACCTCTAAAAGGGTCTCTTGCCTTGGAAAGGTATATTGCTGGGATGAAGACCCCCATCGGGACCTGCAATTTTGTTGAGCAGAAACACAAAATTACAACGGTTTAGTGCAAGGCTCTTCAAATTTGGCACGTTTAAGACTTGTGGACTTCAACTCCCAGAATTCCTGAGCTAACAGGATCAGAGGAGGAATTGTGGGAGTTGAAGTCCACAAGTCTTTAAGCTGCCACGTTTGAAGACCCCTGGCTTAGTGGCTAGGAGCTACCATCTCTCCAAAAGTTATTTCCACAATATGCTGCGACCCTCACAATACACGGATCATAATTCTCAAACATGGGGAAATTTCACTTTACAGGCTTAAGTTCTCCAGGATGCTGTATTATTTTATAATTTAGAACTCTTAGGAGTGTCAAACTCACGTTGTCATGGAGGTGTCACGTGATGTATTGCGACTTTTTTCCCCTACTTTGCTAAACCGGGCGTGGCCAGCACATGACGCATCTGGCCCGCGGGAGTTTGACAGCCCTGATTTAGAACATCAGAGTTGGAAGGGACCTTGGAGGTCTTCTAGTCCAACCCCTGCTTTAGCAAGAAACCCTGTGCCACTTCAGACAAATGGCTGCCCATTCTCTTCAAAACCTCCAGTGTTGGAGCATTTACAGCTTCTGATGGCAAGCTGTTCCGTTGGTTAATTGTCTTCCCTGTTAGGAAATGTCTCCTTAGTTCTAGGTTGCTTCTCTCCTTAATTAGTTTCCATCCATTGCTTCTTGTCCTGCCTTCTGGTGCATTGGAAAAATAGGTTGACCGCCTCTTCTTTGGCTTGCAACTTTCATGTGGTTTGATATAGGTGAAGGGAGAATACTGAGTGTCGCCTGTAGGTCTGGCTTTTCCACCATGAGCTTTGAGAATTGTGTGAAGAAGCCCTTGGCCAGCTATTACCCCATTCTCAGACAGCTTTCAAGTAAAGTCCACAAAGGCATTCAGTACACGACATATTTTGTCTTGGGTAGAAAGGAAGAAGCTTAGCAGAAAGATTGAAAGGCACCTGGCTTGGCCAGTTGGTTTCAGCAAATGCCTCCAGGTAAGGTGAAGCTTAGCAGGAAATAGTTGCCCTTTGTTGATCGAGAAGATGCCAGGTTTTGCTTTACTTCTTCTTTTCATTTATTAAAGGCACCTATTGGCTCAGTTTCAATACAGAGGTGAGCAAATTCAGAGGGATCAGTTAAATCTTGATTGTTGATCTGTGCTGTGGGAGGTAAGATTGCAAAGGGCCCTGGGATATCTTGGGGAAACTCCCCACCATTTTGAGCCTAAAGATCCTCCCTTGCTCTTGATTGATTTCCCAGTAATTGACAGGTTTAGTAGGAGCTGTGGTGACACAGTGGTTAGAATGCCGAGTTGCGGACTAACTCTGTCCCCAGCCAGGAGTTCAATCCTGACCGGTTCAAGGTTGACTCAACCTTCCATCCTCCCGAGGTGGGTAAAATGAGGACCCAGATTGTTGAGGGGGAAATACGCTAGCATTATAAACTGCCCGGAGGGTGTTGTAATCACTAGGGGATGGTATATAGGTCTAAGCCAGAGGTGGTATTCAGCAGGTTCTGACCAGTTCTGGAGAACCGGTAGTGGAATTTTTGAGTAGTTCAGAGAATTGGCAAATACCACCTCTGATTGGAGATTTTACAGTATCCTTCTCCTGCCACGCCCACCAAGCCACGCCCACAGAACCGGTAGTAAAAAAAAATTGAATCCCACCACTGGTCTAAGTGCTATTGCTACTGCTATTTAAACCGTGGTGGTGCGGTGGTTAGAACGTAGTATTGCAGGTTAACTCTGCCCACAGGCAAGAGTTCGAT